GGTGGGCGTGTAGGAGGCAGCCAATCGATGAGTCTCATCATTGATGTTTCTCTCTCTCTCCCTCTCTGAAATCAATAAAAAAAAATATGTATGTGTATATATATATAAGATATATGTATATAATGTATACTAGAGGCCCAATGCATGAAAATTCCTGTAAGAGTAGGCCTTCCTTCCCCTGCTGCCAGCACTAGCTTCCCTTCAGCACCTGGGACCCAGGCTGACTTCCCTCAGGCCGCCCGAAAGCACTTGGAACCCAGGCTGGCTTCCCTCTGGCCCTGGCTTCGTCAGGAAGGACATCTGGAATGATGTCCAGTCTAATTACCATATTACCTTTTATTATATTTTTTTATTATTTTTTACTTTTTTAAAGAGGGAGATGTTGAAGGGAGAGCAGTGACCACGGCTTGGTTAATGCAGTGTAGGCACTGCACACATGATTAACAAAAGGGAATCCTGTGGAGAAAGAATTCCTCACGCTTCACCACGATTGCCATGAAAATATTTATTTGTGGAGAATCGTAAGTCAACAGGAGCAGCACACAGACAGGCCTCTACAATGGTGAGCTGCGTTTTACATTTACAAACACGTTCCCACTCTCACAGTGGGCAGGGCTGGTCACCGCGGGGCCAATGCAACCATTGTCTGAAGGATAGTTGGGCGGCAGAGAAGGAAGACAGGGCTTCCTGGCTATTCTCCCGAGTAGAGTACAGTCACATGGTGTCCCTGACTCACACAGGTGTGGACCTGACGCCCCAGGCAGGTAGGTGATCCCATCCAAGGGCAGAAGGACAAGGAGAGGGCGTGCGCACAGTGGCGGTCCAGGGGTCAGAACAGGCTTCCCTCCTTTTGTGTACATGTCACCGGAGGAGTGAACATGAGGTTCAAGCAGGGCAGGAGTGGTCCCTGGACATCCCGTAATCCCCGCCTGCCCCACCCTCTGGCCTGGGCTCAACACTACAACACCCTCCTCTTACGCAGAGCAGGTGCGCCAGGCCAGGCTCAGGCCATTGGAAAATTAAACATTTTAAAAATTGATTCTAACAAGTGTAAGAATAGGATGACAGACAAAGCATCGTTTTACAATCACGGACATATATTGCAAAAGTAACGCAGACTAACACAATCACCTCAGCAGGACTTGGCAATGATTGAAGACTGATTCGAAAAGGGAATCATCGTTTGGAATTCATCTTTAAGGTCTACAGGAGAAGGTTTGAAACACCGGAAAGTCTTGAAACCTGCACTCTGACAACCATCTTCCACGTTAACATAAATTACCATCCTGGTGCATGTTGCTAAGCTATGTAAGGTAAGAACAAAGATCAGTTCTAATTTGGACCCAACTTGTATCAAAAACTACTGCCAGGAACCAAGGTTGGGAAATTCTACACATGGGCAGCCCGGGGCCTCTGCTGTCAGCGCGCCATGGAGCGTGTGCGTGTGGAGACGAGCCCAGACAGCACAGGCGCGGCAACACGGGCCTGGGAATGTGGGGCTCGGCCTCCCACGAAAGCTCACGTTTCCACAGGAGCCCACACTCTGCAGAGGCTCTCGGGGTCCCCCAGTTCCTTCTCTCAGTAGAGACAGCTCAGCCCATCTCCGTCTCCTCCTGGTCGGGGCTCCCTGCCTGCTCGGGGTCAGGGCCTTCCAGCCGAAGCACAGGGAAGAGAAAGCCTCAGGTGGCACCTGAGTCCATGGTTCCACAGAAGCTTCAAGGAGGAATAAACCCCATCATTCTCTGTAGAACGCAGGGGAGTAAGAGAGCGAGACCTAGCGTGGGGCCAGGCCTCTGAAATAAAACCGGGAGCCAAGGACCGAACAGCGTTTTCGGAGCATGAGCTTCCCTTCAAGTTCCCGGTACTCAAGGAATAAGCCCGGCACCCCACACCGTTCCTTCCAGGTGGGTTTCACCATCTCCTGGAGGACAGACACACCTGGTTCCTTGCCCAGCCCTATACTGGCTCTCAATATTGAAATAAAAAAACTTCTCGTTGGCCCTCTCCCCAGCTCTACTTGGCAGTGGCAGTATTTTCCATTAAATGTGCTACACGCACCCAGGGCCCCGGGTGACTTGGGCTGGTCCCTGTGAGCACGCTGTTGGGGAGGCTGCCCCCCACCAGGCTGCGGGCCACTCCTTCCTCCTCCTGGTCCTTCGGGCCCTGCAGGGACCAGGAGGCCGGGCTCCTCCCGGGGGCTCAGAGGAGCCTGGTGCTTGGAACCAGGAACCAGGGACACAGCACCCTGACCCTGTGCACAGGCCACCGCCAGCACGACAGCGTGAGAGTCAGACATTCAGAGGTCACAGTGGGGAAGAAAGACCGTGCCATGGTGCCGGGAGTTCAATGGAAAAGGGCCCCTTTTCCTTTTCGGGCATTTTCTACAAACAGAAGAATGTACTACTGAGGAGCTGTGTGGGCCCTACCTGTGGGCAGGGAACCAAGGGCACAAGGGCTGGCCTCGGAGAGTTGCTTTCCCAGGAGTCACGTGGGCCCCATGTCCTGTCTCCCCTCCAGGCTGTGGGCTCCCAGACTAGAGGGCAGGGGGCAGAGATCCAGGCAGGCTGAGTCTTCAAGATGGGCACCCCTGCCTGTAGCCAAGCCTAGGGTACCCCAAAACTCTGACAAGTGGAGCCAAGGAGGTCTCGCTGGCAGTGGACAACTGGACTGGTGTCAGGGCCTAGGGCTCAAACGTGTCAGCTGTGGAGCAGGAGCCCAGCTCTGCCCCCCACACCTGTCTGCACGCTAACTCCCTGGCGCGGGGCCCTCGTCACCAGCAGCCGGTGGCACACACGCGGTGCTTACGCTGTTGTGTCACCAACTCGGTGAGTTTTCCAAAAGGAGCCAACGTGGCATCGCCCCGACCCCTCAGCCCTGCACCAGCCTTCCCTTTCCTGGCATCTCTGCACCTCGTGCAGCTGGTCCCTAAAGACACTCGTGGGTTACAGGGCGGGCCCGCTAATACTGGTAAGATCTGTGGACTTGCATTTTCGGGGTCCTGGAAGGTCCCCGCCAAAGTGACTGTGCACACCTGTGTGTGTCTGGGCCACTGGCACTGACCTGTCCATATGGTCAAACAGAGCAGGACGTTGGAAGTGCCCAGGGACCTACCGAGCAGCAACGTCACAAACAAACTCCTGAAGCAGGAGCCAAGAGGGAGCGGTCAGAACGACAAGAAAGGTACTTGGCGTAACTCGTCCTCAGAGACATAGACACAGCCCTGCCACAGGGGACACCTCAGTGGTGGGAGCCCACCTGACCCTCTGGGGCAGCAGCCCCTCCCACCACGTCCCCCGCTCCCCAGCTGGGGAGGACGCCCCCAAGGGGGTGACCACAGAGCTGGTTTTCAGGGAGGCCCAGGAGCCTTCGTGCGGAAGGAGGGCTGGGTCTCCGAATCACACATTTCTGTGATCACGGTGTTATTTTTAAAAAGCACGACTGGCACATTTTCACAATTAAGACCAGTGGATGCTGGACACTCACAAAAGGAAAAAAATATCAAGTTTCGGTCACAGCTCTAAGGCAGACGTTACGTTTTTCACAGGGATGACGACGGAGACACGGCGCTGCGGGAGCAGGTGGGCGCAGCAGCCCTCACAGCACCGTGGCCTGGACGACAATCTCCGGGTTCTCGATGTCCCTTTTGCTCTGGACCATCCTCAGCTCCAGCAGGGCCGGGCTGGGCTTCTGTCCTTCCCCGGCCTGGGCTACAGAACAGACAGTGCGTGAGCCTCGGGGCAGAGCAGGGAGATCGCCTTGGTGTTCCCAGTCAGAAGGGAGCTCCGGGCTGCAGCCCAGGCCAGGGGGACAGCGGGAGCCCCGGGGACCCCATTCACAGTCGCGCAGGTGCCACCTCTCCCCCTCCCACCGCTCTGCCTGAGGCCCCAAAGCAGGAGGCTCTGAGGATCGCGAAGGCGCCCACGGGCCTGCGGTGGTACCTTTCGCACACTTGATGGTCCGCTGCAGCACGTGGTGCATGGCTGACACGGTCTTCTCACAGGCCACCTGCGGGGAGGAGGGACCACTGTGCCCGGCCACCTCGAGACCGTCTGCTCACCATGCTCCCCCAACCAGCTGGGCCTTCCCCCCGGAGACTAACAGAGCTGAGCAGGTGCCTGCATCACTAACCTGCCCCCCTCTGGGCCAGACAGCTCTGGGGAGGGGCTGTGACGCAGGACCATGCATATTGCCTGGCACGTTGTAGATGCTTAGTGTTTCTGGGATGAATTAAGTATAAAGAATCTACACGGGAAAGAACTTGTGCCCCAAGGTGGGCCCAAGTCATTGCTCACAGTCAGACTCGGGGCTCAGCAGGTGCTGGGGAAGCAAACAGAACTGCCTCCCCAACTCCAGGACCCAGGGCCCCTCCTAAACCAACTCGGCCTTCAGAGACACAGCCCTCCTCTGGGCACCACGATGCCACCGCCTGGACAGATGGCGCTCCCGCTGCTGCCAATTAGACTGGCAGGTCTGCACTCTCGGTAGGCTGGCCTTCAGGGGGGCAGGAGGGTGTGAAACCAGCCAGGGGAGGCACATTTTGGCTTCGATGGGTAGGTGAGAGGGGAGGAACCTCCGAGCAAGCCTGGCATTGCACAAACACAGAGCCCAGATGTGCTGGGGAGGCCTGGGCCCCGGGGGAGATGGGGCCCCTCCAGGGGCTCTGCCGACAGCTTTAGAGGAATCCATTTCCAGATCCTGAGCTCTGAAGTCTGCCTTCCCACACTCAGGGGGGCAGCAGGCCTCACCCACCTGACAACATTTCTGTAACGCTGATGGAGGACAGGCCTGGCTGTCAGCTGATGGGGCATCAGACAGAACAATATGACAAGATGCCCCGAGGCTGACATTAGGAGATCAAAGAACACGCCTGGGAGTCCTGAGCGGGACCACAGAGCGCACAGAAAACTCCCGCACCCCAGTTTACCAAACCAGCCCAGTGGCTACATTTGAGGACACACTCGCACTGACTGCTCTGCTGACAGGGGCTCCCCGGTACCGAGGCTGCACACCGCAGTACTGAGCCAGAGCCCTCAGATTTCTGCTGACACAGCCTCCCGGGCTGGGCCTGGCACCCGACTTGGGAACGAGAGACACTGAGCAGGGGTGCGGCTGGGACTCAACCAGATGTGGGACATGACGTGGCAACCAAAGCTCCGGAACCCTCACACCCTCCAGCTCTTTAGAGCAGCGATTCTCAACCTGTGGGTCGCGACCCCTTTGGCGGTCGAACGACCCTTTCACAGCGGTCGCTTAAGACCATCCTGCATATCAGATATTTACATTACGATTCATAGCAGTAGCAACATTACAGTTATGAAGTAGCAACGAAAATAATTTTATGGTTGGGTCACAACATGAGGAACTGTATTTAAAGGGCCAGAAGGTTGAGAACCACTGCTTTAGAGGGACATGACAGCCACGCCCCACAGAGATGAAGGGATCAACAGGGGCAGGAGGGGCGCGCCCTGCTGACCTTGAGGTTATTGGGGTGCTTGTGTGTCCACGCCAGAAGCATGGCGGCAAACAGGTCCCCGGTGCCCACAAAGACGGCGTCCACCTTGTGAATGTCCATGCGGATGCGCTGTATCGCCACGGAGCCATCAGGGTGCCCTGGGGGACAGCATGGCCCGCTGGGACCCCAGACCCTCACCAGCAGAGGCCCAGCCCAGGGCCCCAGCCTGCCCTCCTGCCCGCTCAGCCCCTGCACTGCACGCGGAAGGGTCATGTCACCCACGGAGGCTCACTCTGACCAACCCCTGGGCTCAGGGTCCACCCGGTGTTCCCAATACCCTACAGCGGAGAAAGTGAAAGGTGGGAGCCCCAGCTGACCACCATCAGGACGGCGTGAGGGGACTGCGCAGCTGATGAGGGGCCGGACCGTGTGATCTGTGGAGGGAGCCAGAGTAACCATGGCGCCTAGAGCTGTAGGGACTATGTGAACTTACTGAAGTGTGTGAGCATGTGTGCAAGCCTGAGTGTGAGTTTGTGAATGAGCGTGTGCAAGTGTGTGAATGCATGTGTGAGTGCATGTGCTCCTGCACACAGATGCAGAGGGAGCTGTGAGAAGCTGCTCTCTGGGGCAGTGGGAGTGACCCAGCCCCGGGTCATTTTAACGCTGTGCGGAGCCACGACCCGATGGCACTCGCAGGATGAAACAATGAACAAGCAGAGCACGACGTGAGCTCAGCCCAGCCCCAGCTCTGCGGGAGGTCAGGCGTGTGGACCCCTGGTTCCCCGAGAGCCTGGCTCCAGCAGGGCCGTTCCCGGTGACCCCAGAGGTAAGTCGGGACGTTATCCTCAAGCTGCTGGCCCCATCATGGATGTCGAGGGCTGCTTGGCAGCCATGGGGGAGGTGGCAGCTCCCCATGCTCCACTGCACCTGATTCATGGAATCCTTCCTCGTTCTGATTTAGTCTCATCTTTCTCAGGATTGGGGGTGGGGGTGACAGGACTTCAGGAAATTGCAAACCTTCTCAGAAGCCTCAAGGGGCATGTGGAGTAAAGGTGTGGGAGGGAGCTCAGTGCTGGGGTGGG